GGTTTAGGGGCATTATTGACCAAAGGAGAAAGAAGCAGCCCCCCCCGGACCCCACCTTCGGGGGAACCAGGTTTAGGAAGTTAATTTTTTTTTTTGAGGGGTCCGGGGGGGAGGTGCCGGGCCCCCTGGAGGGGGGGGCCCCGGGCCATTTCTTTTCCTTCGGGAGGGGGGGGGGGGTTTCGGTGCGGGGGAAAAAGGACCAAAAGGATTTTGGGGGGGTGGAAGAGGGGTGGGGGTGTTCATAGTGGGCCACCCGGGAGTGGTTAGACTGTGGCCTTGGTTCCCCGGCACACCCGGGAGGGGCCACGCGGGGTTTTCCCCGGGGGGGGGGGGGGGGCCAAGGTAGTAGGGGGATAGAACGAGGGGGGGGGGGGAAAGATGTGGGAGTAGGTAGTAGTGTAGCAAAACGGATGTTGGGGCCCAGAACACAAAAAGGGGGGGAGGGGGGCGGGATAGCTTTGGGGGGGGGGGGGGGCGGCATGGTGGCAACTTTCTTCAAGGGGGAGAGAGACAAGAGCTGCTGTACGTGCATTGCTGTTGTTGTTGTTGTTATCGTCTACTATAATACTGCAGCATTGCAAGTCCGTGTGGACCTACTTCTTTCCCCTCCACTAGAGCAGTGGTTTGCATAGTGATCGCTGAGATTCGAAAGCAGCAGTCGTCGTGGCGGGCAGGCATGTTCGGCAGTACATTTTTTTATTGCACAAATTGCCGTGCTGCTTCCCTCCCACTCGAACAGGCGTTTACGAAGCTCGGGTTTGGGTTCGAGGAGAAGTGCTGGTGCTACGAGACCTGCGCGGCGGTGCTGCACCTGGGAAACATCAGCTTCTCGGCCAACGGAGAAGGTTCGCAGGTCAGTCAGTCAGTCACACAAACGGTTTATCAGTGAGGGTTCTCGAGAACACGAAAATGTCCGGATGTTGATCTTTCCTCTGATTTTTGTTTGTAAGTCTCGTCCACAACATGAAAATGTCCCGATTGACCCTACAGTACTTTATATCATCTAATTGGTCGATTGTATTGTTTGATTACATTCGTTGGATATTTACGTACATGTGCAATAAATGTGCGTTGATTTCTGATTGGCTGCTGGTGGGTTTACACTTTTATTGTTCATCACACAGGCGGATCAGGCAGGTACCCCGGCGCTCGAATTTGATTCATTCACAAGCGGGTTGGTCTTTGGATTGCTGGTGTGTGTGTTTTTTTGTTTGTTATACATACAGGTGGATCAAGCAAGTGCTCAGGCACTCCACTCCGCGGCGAGATACCTTCGAGTCGACCCCGGAGCCCTGTCCCAG